TTAGTTATAGCGGCGCCCCTTTCCTGCATAGAGTGGCTGTTGGGGGGTTTTGCGACTTCCGCATATGTTCGTGTAGGCTTAGGCCCAGCGTCGCTCACAGGCTGGGGGGTGGTCGTGGATGGGTGGTGGATAGAGTTGGTTAGGGCATACACCACACGTTGCTGTAGTTCTTGTGCGACCAGGCGCTCCGCTATGCTAGTGAAGTTCTCTAGGCAATGATCAATCGCGTTCGCGATAGCTGTGATGATGCTGTGTCTAGTTTTGGCGGCCTCTTGGGCTGCCGTGATCTTCTCCGTAACCGCGCCCGTCACCAGTTGTCTCTTGTTAGCACTACCACCGAACGATATAGGTATAGGCGCTGCTTCGGCTTGCCTGTGTCTTTTTGTAGTGCGTAGGTTAGCTAGGCTAGGGGTATTTGGGTCCTCAGGGCGCGTGTGTGTCACTTCTGGAGGTCGAAGTGTCTGCCCTGGGGTACCTGGCACCGCCATCTCTCTGTCAGAGGGAGGGCTGGGCCCGATATGAGTTGTGAGTTGCCTTATTAGGCGCTTTAGGAGTGATTTCTAACAAAAATTTAATTGTTTTGAAGGGTACCATAAAATCACAAAGTTGGTGTTCGGTGCCGTCCGCGCGGAGGAACTGCCGGGATGTATCCTTGTTACCCTAAATCGACCTTTTGATGCTGCAGTCTTGATCTTTGCTACCTTGGCTTGCTTTGTAGCCCACCGAGCTTTTCGCAGAGATGTGCTGTTGCGAACGAACAGGGGAGTGTTAGAGGAGAGTCGGGGACAGCGTTGACAGAACGAGCGACAGCACGGTTAACGACGCGCTTTTTGGCATCGGAGACCGATGTGCTAGAAGAACGAAAGCTAAGGAATGGATGCGCATTGCGCTTGTTCGTGTATAAGCACGTTGCGGGCAATCCGAGGGCCCGGAAGAGAAGGCGTCCCGTTACACCGTGCGTCCCGGCACGCTTGGATTGACGTTACTCTACTGCTATACCGAATATCACTGCTCTCAATAACGAATTGAAAATGGAAATTTTACTAATTCACAAGGCTAAAAGAGAAAGATGTCGCACTCATGAACATAAAAATAGGCTACCAGCACACACTCTTCTTACTACAAGACCCATATCGAAGTCGTCTACCCAAACCCCGGTTCCTGCCTGACCTCGACTCTTATGTCGATTCGAGTAAAAAAAAGAAGAAGAAGAAGGAGAAGAAGAAAGCTATCATACACATATACAATGCAAGAAAAAAGTCACAAGAAGTCCCCCCCTCAGCTTGCTTCCCCCCTCCCCCTCCTCCTCATCCTAAACCTAATCTTCATCTTCGGCTTCTGCGTCCCAAGTCCAAACCCGGACGAATCCATCTCAAACCCCCTGTCCTTAACCTCGACCTCAAATTCGCTCACCAAAAGCGCACACGTATACAGAATAATCCTCTTCGCCAACAGTCTGCCCGGACAAGCGCTGAAACCGCCTCCATACGGTATCCACGCACCCGCCAGCCCCTTTGCGGAAAAATGCGACTCCTTAGTCGCGAGTTTAGCGCGGATATCGCGGGCTTCGGGGGTGCAAGGATTCAAAGGCCCGGATGAGGGGTCTGCAGGGTCGAGAATGAAGCGGTCGGACCAGAAGGAACCGACGGGGTGGCGTCCATCTTGCTCATTCCAAAGCGAAGTATTCATATGCGCGACGTACGAACTCACCATGCTGACTTCGTTGCGAGGCAGTGTCCAGTCGCCCACATCTACACACTCGTGCGCGGAACAACGGGTAATGTAGGATTGGACGTAGAGGCGCAGTGTCTCTGCGTAGACGGATTGTAAGAGGTCTTTTTGGAGGAGCTTGTCCATGGAGGCGTCGAAGCCTGATGTGGGGTTGTGGGAGATGGAGTCGGAGATGCTGGTGCGGATCCGGGAGAGGAGATCGGGGTCAGAGAAGATGTGGAAGGCGGTTAGCATGGTTGAGGGCACGACGTTGGTGATGGACGTCCAGATGAGGCCGAGGTCGGTGGAGGCGACGGCGGCGTCGTCTTGGCCCGGGATGCTGAGGAGCATGCTTTGGCGCTCGCGATTCATGATGGAGCCCCAGTAGGGGTCCCATTGGGTGTCTTGGGCGCCGTTGTCGCGGAAGTGCTGGCGCGCGTAGTTGTACCAGTTTTGGATCTGGGCGAGGAGGCGCTCGCGGACGCGGTAGGCGCTGGGAACTAGGAAGCGGGGAAGGCGCTTGGCGAGGTTGACAACTTGTTCGTCGAATTCCCAGAGGTCTTGGATGAAGTTTGGGTTGATGGCGAGAAGGGATGGGCCGAAGAGGGATTCGAGGACTGCCTTGCCGACAGTGTTGCGGAAGAAGGCGAAGAGATCGGGCTGTTCGATCCATTCATAGCCAATGTCTTCGGCGTCGAGGTTTCGTTTGAGAATGGTTTGAAACCGTTCAAATGTCGGTAGCATCGAGTTGCTCGTCAGCCCGCGAAGCAGCGCGTCATGGGTGAGAAAGTCGATGCGGTTGTGTGGTTCGACATTGCTGTACGGATGAGGCTTGCGATATGGCCCCGAATCGTCAGCCATGTAGGCCTCGATTCCTTTTTCGTGAATGCCGAAAATATAACGCAATCCCACAGTGTATACGTAGATGGGGCTGGAGAGGTTTGGGTTCTTCCACATGTCGGCAATGGCCTTGGGCTCGGAGACAAGATAGATACCATTGATGAGCAATGAAATACGGACACAGGTTAGCTTGCCGGCGTATGTCCTACACTTCCTGTCAGTTTCGTTCTTGTGCAGTACATAGATCAAGACTCACGTAGCCTTCGTCACAAAGGAAGCGCTATCCCATAGGAACGAGATGGTGCTTCCTATGATGGGCATTGCAGGATACTCAGGCGGTGTCTGCCCCGGTTTCCTTCGCATATGTGTCCAATGGTATAGTGATAGTGTGAATAAGTAGTTGAGGATGAAGGGAATGGCTAATATGGTGCTTGCGACCAGAATCTGCCGAAGATTGTTCGTCCATGAACTCGGAGTCATTTCTAGGCCGGAAGTCTGAATGACAGACTCATTCTGTGGGATGTACTGGTCTTGAAAAGGTTCATACAAGGCTTCTTTCAAGCTGGGCCATAATGAGAGGCTGCTCTGAATCCCTTGAACGACCATCATCTTGAGTGAATACAGACGACTGTAAATGTGAATGCAAGGGTATACTGAAGTGTCGCCGAACTTGCATGGATTTGCATGCTTCTTGCAATGATACCCTGTTATATAGACACTACATAGCTATCCACTGACTTTTTTTCATAGGCACCATCAGTCAGCACATCAACCACATCGATCACATCAACCGGCGATGGCAGTGCTTCGTGGGCGTCAAGCTAGAGTCGGCTTACTTTTGGACGCCTAATAGTACGATACGTATGCTTGAGGAATACCACCAGCCTCATATGAGCGCCGAAGGTTTCCCGTTTAGGTCGTTGGGCTGCTCGGAAGCAGGGGTATGGAGGCAACCATGATAGAAAAGCTGATCCGTTGTCGTTTTGGCCCCATTGCATCAGCGCTTAGAGCGCCCTCACCCTCCAAGGTACAGTATGGCAGATTGAGTTTGTGCAAGTGTCCTTCTTCGTTGGGGCGTTGCGGCAACTTGCTCCTCCCGCTGCGTGTGCGGGGTGCCGTACGCCGTGGCTTGTTTGACTAATGTTCCAATCTTGTATGGCGGTGATACGTACTATGAATCCCAATGTCAGCCTTGTGTACCGCACTGCGATTGTGAGCCCCACAGCTACATTCTTTTTCCCTGGATTTGCGGCACAGTCTGCATATATTGAGTGTCGCAGTCCTAGGTAATAGTTCGTGCAGCTGTGTTTTTTGGACCCCGAATTGCTTCTATACATATAACACGCCAAGTACAAATCGGCTGAACGGCGGTGTTTAGGCATGCGAATGTCCCACCTTATCGTCATTTGCCGGTTGTGGGTGCCGCCTGTGCCGTAGTACGAGTGCATGGCATGCTAATATTGTGGGGTTTTCGGCAAGGGTTCTAGAAAGCTGCCTAGTCTACCTCGACACTTCCCTGCTCCTGCATTCCCATTCGTGGAAGGTATTGAATATTTTTGGCACATAGTGGCCAATCGCATCTACAGATATTGCCTTGCATAGCATAATTGGAGCTGAGGACATAGAGCTTTGGTTTACGTTTTTTTCGCAGGCACTTAGAGTAACATCATGGTAATCATCAATTCATCCAGTTACAGTACAAGTGGAGATCCTGAGATCGAGAAAAATAACTCTTTCGCCTCAATCGCCACTGATATCTCCAGGCTGTTTTCTTCTCACTGTTGAAATACAAAGAGACGCCCAATCACTATGGAAGGTGTGAGAGAGTAAGAATCCTAGCTTACACGTCCCTTATCACCACGACTGGCTCCTTGCTAGACGCAGATGAGTGCAGCCGAGCACTATCTTCTTCTTTACTGTAAAGAGTAGACTCTGGCGAGTTTACTTGGATTGACTGGATCTCTCCTTGGTCGTTGATAAATGTCCGAAGACCAGTCATCTGAGCCCTGGGAACGGCCGGTAAGCCCAAAGGACCCTTTTCGGTCCCAGACTCAAGTGTATCATCCAACAGCGTGTCTTTCCTCTTGCGATTGAACTTTGCAGCAAAAGAGGCAGAGAAGAAGCGCTGAGCTTGCTCCTTGGGCGTTAATGCCTTGCTGTTTTTTCGTGATACGAAAAAGCTTCGGAAAGCAGTTGCTGCCGCGAGGAAGACACCGACCTGGGCGCTGACGACAGTCCAATACAACTCCCATATGGTATCAACCATGTCATTGTTGATTAGTCCAGCAAGACGAGCAACTGTGGTGGCCATCATGATAACGGTCAAGCAAAGCGAGGATGCCAACGCAACCTTCTGCGTCCACTGTACTTTAATCTGCCAGATGATACAAATGGGTATAGCAAGGACTAGAGGGTATCAGTCATGTTCCTAGAACGAATTGGAAAAACTTACTCATAGCATCACCGACGAGGTCAAGGACCATTTGAGCAGTAGAGTGATGGACAAGAAGCTTTTTGAACCTGCCAGTAGCGCACTGGACTAGCTGGATGTCAGCATAGTAAGGGTTGAATGGCCAGTTTACTTACGTTCTCTTGGGTCGAAATAATAAGGGCACCCGATGTACCAGATAGCAGTGCCATATCCAAGGCAGGCCAAGTTGAAGAGGACTACCACCCACCAGTAGTAGTTGAGCACCGGCACCCGGTCAATCAGTTTCTTGAAGAAAAACAAGAAGCTGAGCTTGACGGCGACCACAGAGGCCCAAGCTACCATACCACATACAGTGACCCATTTGTGGAAGTGGAATGATATCTGCATCCAGTCTGGAGGAGGTATGACTCCCGGGACGCCAGTCTGCAGAGCGACAATGAGATACATGCGATTCATGACTTCCTTGAACATAACAACAACGCTGCACAGCAGGAGGCTAAAAGCGAGGAGCAAGAAGCCATCATCGGCGGAGAAAGATTGCTTCTGTACTCTGAAGCGAATGATGAAGCGTGTGGTAACTGCTACTACACATAGGGCAAGCATCACTGACTGGGATATCTAGCATTCATGTTAACGCAGAACAATTGGATGGACAAATGCCATGCTCACGATTAAGGCCTCTTTGGGCACACGGCCTGCTGTGTCCTCGGGCTTCATGATGGCGTAAAGAAAAGGCGAAAATTGATATGAGTAGGTATGGAGAGGGACGCCTTGTCAGCGTGCAAGCTGACAAGACGAAAGAGAGACATCCTAATCCCTATAACTATCATATCACTACCATTCGCATCTGGCAGTGGAAGCGCAGTGCCGAAGGTGCGTCGTCAACTCTGCATGTCTTACTGCTTGATCTGCTAGGGCTTACAGGAATAAATCAACCCTCTACCCCCCGCACATGGTTCAGCCTCGTCCAAGTGGTCAGTTAGTCCCCGACGTAGCATTTCGGCGCCTGAACCTCAGCACTGCCCGTGCTGCCTTCCGGCGTGCATGAACACAGAGTCTGTTCTTTTTTGGGGGCCAAGGCATATTAGAGGTACGCGGATTTGTACCGGGCGGCTAATCGTGGGGCAGTGGGTGAATTGCCCCCACATTTTCGATAGCTTCCAAAGTGGGGGCGGGTTTGGGGGCCGCTTGCTATGTCGCCTGCCCTGCCCTGCCCTGCCCTGCAGCCTGCGTTGCACGACAACGATCCACAAGTACCCGCGCCGCCTGCGCCTCATTAACCGAAATTGGCACCAGTGGCAGCAGCAGCAACAGTAACAATAGCAACAACAATAGCGACAATCTATCCAGCCTCGTCTCCCCTTTATCAGAAGACCTTCCGCGTCGCCCTCATTGAGAGGCTACCATATCACCATGGCTTCCTTCTCGTACAGCAGCATCGCATGGCAGGTCGCGCTGCCGGCGGCCGTCACCGCCATTGGCGTATTCACTTTCAAGATGATCAAGAACCGCATGATCTTCTACAGGCTCAAGAAGCAAGGTCTAGTACGCAGCTGCGATAGTCTCTTTGTGCCGTGCCTTGCTGACGCTCTCATCTTTAGCCCATGCCTCCATGGGACTTTGGAGCTGGCAGCCTTCAGACTCTTCCAGCTTTGCTCGAGAAGTTCCCCAAGGGCTCGCAGCAGTCAGATGCCTTTACTCTCCTCTCCTACCAATTCAAGCAGTCGGATGGCTGCTTCTACATTGATCTTTGGCCTTTTTCAAGTCCGCTGATGGTAGTCACTTCTCCCGACCTTGCCATGCAGGCTTGTCAAGAATACGACCTTCCCAAGCCACCCATTCTCATTCCCTTCTTTGCGCCCTTTGCAGGCGGCCCAAATCTCTTCGATATGAACGGCGCCGAGTGGAAGCGTTCAAGAGCTCTCTTCAATCATGGATTCAGTGCCAACGTGATGCTCGAGAGTACACCCCACATTATCGAAGAGGCCGAGGTATATGTGGCGCTGCTGCGTGAGCACGCGAAAAAGGGTGACACCTTTTCGCTGGACGATCTGACATGTGACTACATGATGGACGTTATTGGGTCGATTACAATGTAAGCACACATGAGACGTACCGTACTTTGGTGCAAGCGCTGACCATGTCAGCAATGCTCGTCTCCACTCTATGACTCGACACAACGCACTTGCTGCTGCCATGCGGAGCTCCATCCAATGGCATTGTCAAGATGAGGAGCTTAATCCTTTCAAACGCTGGAACCCAATGAGACCTATTATCGAGTGGCGCAACGGCAAGATCATGGACAGTTATGTCGGCAATGAGCTGGACAAGCGATATGAACACTGGAAGTCTAATGAGCCGTCCAAGGGAGCCAAGTCTGTCATGGACCTTACCATAGCAGCTTACATGGGCGAACGCAAAGGTGCCGATAGGCTTGACCCCGATTTTAAGAGATGGGCTACTACGCAGATTCGCCTCTTTCTGTTTGCGGGACATGACTCCACTGCAGCTACCATTGTGTACAGTCTCCACATGATGTCCAAGCACCCTGAGGTTCTGTCCAAAGTGCGCGAAGAACTAGATCAAGTCTTCGGCAAGGGTACCGACTCAGCTGCTCGAGTCCTCAAAGAACACCCGGAGGAAATCAACAAACTGACCTACACGAATGCAGTGATCAAAGAGACTCTGCGCCTCTTCCCTCCTGCATCAGGCATGCGAGGCGGGCTTCCGGGTGTCTTCCTGCGTGACAAGAACGGCAACAAGTATCCCACTGAAGGCATCAACATCTGGGTTGCCCACGGCGCTGTGCAGCGAAACCCAGACTACTGGCCCGAACCTCACAAGTTCATTCCTGATCGTTGGCTAGTGGAACCCGACCATCCATTGTATCCGCCAAAGGGTGGTTGGCGACCTTTTGAGTATGGTCCCCGTAACTGCATGGGCCAGACTCTCGCTATGCTCGATATCAAGATCACCTTGGCAATGACGATTCGTGAGTTTGATGTGCATGATCAGTATGAGGAGTGGGATCGGTTGCACCCGTCTTCTGGTATCAAGACCGTCTTCGGGGAGAGGGCGTACCAAGTGCCTCAAGGGGCAGCTCATCCAGTCCATGGCTTCCCATGCAAAGTCACAGCTAGGGATGTGGAGTAGAATACGTCGGTGATAGAACCAATGAAAACTAGGTTTTTGGCGGGGTTTTGATTCAAAAGGTATAAACATCAACAAGTGTCAGACGGTATCTTGTCACGGCGGATGTTTAGTGTATCGGAGTATCAATAGTGTACATATAAAAATATAGTCTAGTTCATTGTATCCGGTTTTGAGAATGCCATGTAACCTTCCCTCCCCTGCGAAGCGAAAGACCCCTGCGTTGAGATAGGAACAACAGGTACCTCGACTTCGCACCCACTTCACGTGTAGTAACTACGTAGTACAATTTTCGCTCTAGCAATACTAGCTCTATATTTTACTTGCTAATATTACCTAGATTAGATGCTGAGAGTCTACCGATTCTTTCTCTCTAATATCTAGTATACTGCTACTATGCGCGTGCTGTAAAACGCGTTTCCTTAACGCAGGGCGGTACTTATAGCGTGCGACAGCGACGAAAGCGGATAACTATTAACTAGTTAACTAACTAACGTGTTCCACCAGTAAGCTGGACACACCAGTAAGCTGGACACCCCACCTAACCTGACCCAACGCTTGACACAACCACCACCATGCCGCGACAACAAAGTGCTCAATCAACTTCTCGTGAAAGCAGAATAAGTCTTGCTATAGCATCCTATCATAATAATAAAAAACAGCCTATCCGTGCGCTTGCGAAAGCGTATGACGTACCAAAGTCAACTCTGTATACGCGCATCCATGGTACTCAGCCACAATCAGATACTCCGTCTATCAGGCGTAAGCTATCATCTATCGAGGAGCACTCTCTTGTTCAGTGGATCCTAGAGCTAGATCGGCGTGGCTTTCCGCCCCATATCATCGACGTGCGACGGATGGCAGACACTCTACTCGCTGCGCGTGGTCAAGATCCCCCTCCACAACCTGTAGGCAAGAACTGGGTATCGCGCTTTATTCAGAGCCAGCCAGAGCTTCAGACAAAGTGGACTAGAAGATTAAGTAGCCAGCGCGCCCACTGCGAGGATCCTACTGTGATTACAGCCTGGTCAAG